AGAAGTGTGTTGTTCAATTTCCATGTTTTTATGAAATTCTTGCAGTTTCTTTTGCTATTGATCTCCAATTTCATTGCAGTATGATCTGATAATATACAGGGGATAACTTCAATTCCTTTGCACTTACTTAAACATGTTCCGAGTTTGTGGTCTATTTTGGAGAACAACCCATGTGCAGCTGAAAAGAATGTGTATTCTGATTTTGTGGGGTGAAACACTGTAAGCATCTGTTAAATTCATTTGTTCAAAAGTTCGATTGAGTTCTAGTATTTCATTACTTATTTTTTGTCTAGTTGATCTATTTGTGACAGTGGGGTATTGAGGTCCTCCACTACTATTGTATTAGTGCATATATGACTTTTCGTGTCCGTTAGTATTTGTTTGTATCCGTTAGTATTTGTTTTATATAGTTGCGCGCACTAGTGTTTGGTGCATAGATATTTATGATTGTCATCTCTTCCCATTGGATTGTTCCCTCTACAAGAATGTAGTGTCGCTCTGTCTCTCTTAATCAGTGTTGGTTTGAAATCCACTTGATCTGCAAAGAGGATAGCTACTCCTGCTTTTTTTCATGTTCCCATTGCATGAAGTATTGTTTTCCACTCTTTAACTTTCAGTCTATTAGTTTCATTTTGAATTAAGTGTGTTTCTTGTAAGTCCATATATTACTTTTCATGTCCGTTAGTATTTGTTTTATATAGTTGGGTGCACTAGCATTTCATGCATATATATTTTGATTGTTATCTCTTCCTGTTGGATTGTTCCCTTTACAAGGATGTAGAACTTTGTTCTTCTGTGGGGTTTCTGGAATCTTAACAATTATATGTCTATGTGTAGATTTTTTTTGATCAAGGCTAGTTGGAGTACTATATGCTTCCCTTATCTGTATGTCAAGTTCTTTTCCTGCTTGGGAAGTTTTCTGCCATTACTTCTGTGAACAGTTTTTTTATGTCATCTACACTCTCTCCTTGACTCCAGTCAGTCTTATGTTATTCTTCTTTGCATCATCTAGCAACTGCTGGATTGATTTCTCGTGGTCCCTTAGAATTTTGAAACAATTATTCTTTTCCTGATCACTAATTGCAATCTTATCTTCTATATCTGAAATTCTGCCCTCACATTGGCTCATTCTGCTGTGTAGACTTTCAGTGGAGTTTTTAATCTCCTGAAAATCTGTTTGTATCTGTTTTATGGATTCCATTTGTTTCCTATGTTGGGATTCCATTATGTTCCTCGGCTCCTCTATTTTTTTCTCTTTGTCCTCTCTAGATTTATTAATCATGTCTTGCACTATGGGCAAAATCTCTGCTGTTATCTGAGAAATTATTTCTGATTTCATTTTTTCAAGATCCTCTTTTGTTGCCAGTTCAGGGAGTCCAGGTGATTGAGTATCAGAGTATTCCATCTCGTTTCCCTTTGAGGTTGCTGTAGGTGATTTGGAAGTCTTGTTTTGAGGCTTGTTTATATGTTTTCTCATTTCGACGGGGTGGAGGTGGGGGGATGTGCTGCTGGCACCTGCGGGGCTCACCTCTGCGCTGGGAGCAGTGGAATGACGACCCAGAAGCCCTTACCTCCAATCTGGGAGTGGTGGGACGGCAGCCCGGCAGCCCATTCCTCTTGCCTGGGAACGGTGGAACAGCAGCCCGGAAGCCCCTACCTCCAGGCTGGGAGTGCTGGAACCCATCATCTTCTACTTCTGATGTTCTTTTTCCAAACATTTTCTAGACCCTCTCAAACCATATTTCATGAAGGATAATTTTTTCATTTCCTATCTCTCATAGAATTAGACTGTCATAAAATAAGTCTTTTATAAAATGATTTGCTAAAAGTTTATCATGCATTTTAGATAAGAGAGATCCATACTGTTTTTGTACTCATCATCAGCTGGTAACTAGTAGTTATATGTCCTGGTTGATTCATTCTTTTTTTTTTTAAGTCCTATGGATTGAATCCAAGATCTTCCCACTCAGCCACATCCCCAGCCCTCCCATCTCTTTAAAATTTTGAAGCAGGATCTTATTAACTTGTCCAGGTTGGCCTTAAACTTGAGATCCTCCTGCCTCAGCCACCCAGAATGTGTTACACCCCTCAGTTTGTTGATTTATTCTTTGAGTCTCATTTCCTTTGGGAAGTTTCCTGGGCTGTCACAGGAGTTCAAATGTCTTTCACTTCCCATATTATACAATAAGGTTCACCTAAGACAAACTGAACTAAAACAAAGTTTTTCTCAGAGTCCGAGTAGTCACGTTAGGGCTTTCAAGAGTTTTAAATAATCAATTTTAAAAGAATTTGTGTGTATGTGCAATATTTCTTTCCTGCTAAGGTTTCTGCTTCCCCAGCAAACACCTCTCAACCTCTTTCCCTCTTGGTCTACTGATTAACAAGAATGACAGATTTCATATCAGTTTTTAAAAATAACAGTGTTCTATTCATTAATCCCTTCTAGGATGGCCCCAGAAGTTGCAGCGGTAGAGAAGAATGGCGGCTACAACCAACTCTGTGATATCTGGGCAGTAGGAATAACAGCAATTGAACTTGGAGAGCTTCAACCACCTATGTTTGATCTTCATCCAATGAGGTGCTCTCATTATTTACACTTACATATTTACTAGTAAGTTATTTGGGGAAAGTAAAATACCAATAAGTCTAGGATTATAAGCTTATTTTTTAACTATATCAAAGTAGTTAAAGTATTGTACGGGCTCAGAGGTAATCTTATCTGAAGCTTTCTCAGGGGTGTTGCTACTCCTCAGACAGCACAGAGTGAGTTGTCTATGTTGTTTGAAGCTTTTCCATGAGACACATTATCTTAATAATCCAATAGGATAGAGCAGTTATTGTTAAACAAGTCTTTTTGATTTTGATTTATTAGTTGCTTTTGTTTGTCCTACATGAAATTATAAATAAATAATAGAATACATAAGTTTTTTGTTTGTTTGGGTTTTTAACCATATTTGATTTTACTTTGTTTAGGTATAATGAGGAAGTACCTATACTTGGTATAATTATCATTTATATTTTAAGATATTATCTTTCAGAAATAAATACTTAAGGGCTTTCTGAAAAATTTTTTTATATTTTTAAGGAAAACATATTGAGCTAAAATTTAAACTTTAGATGGTATAAAATTTTTAAAAATCAGCGCAGTGGGGAAAATGTTGTACTAATATATGACCAACCTCAAATGAATATATGCTACATAAAGAATTTATTCAGTGACCACAGGCAAAAGATAGGTTATAAATATTGGAAGTATCAGACACTAAAGAACATGGAAAACTAAAGGTATTCAAATTATAAGATACCTGCTGTTAACTAGGATGCTGATAGGTACAGACTTACAGGAAAATAATTTTACGTTTTTTTGTTAAAGCCAATACAAATGCCTCCATGATTCTACTACTTAGGAAATCATATTTAAGAATAATTCAAGAAAAGACTAAGAATTGCCCATTTTAGGATAACAGGGAAAAAAAATCTTCAGTATTGAATACTTGGTGAGTTATTAAGTTATTTTGTGGTTAGGGATAGCTGTAACCTATGTATAAACCAAAGGAATGTAGAAAATTGATTAGTAATGAAAAAAGCAGAGAACAATATTACCTAATATTGTATTATAATAATTTGTAAGCATTTAGATAAATACTAAAAAGGAGCAGAAATTTTTAAGAAATATTTTAAGGTAGTGAAAATATAATTTTTTTTCTCTTCCAATTTTCCTTTGAATCGTTTTCTTTTTAAAAAGAGAAAATATCTTCCAGTTTATTGGTTGCTCTTGTTTCTTAGTTAACAACTTAGTTTCCTGGTATGTTAAAAAAAAAAAAAGTTTGCTTAGAAACTTGCAAGAAATCTCATAAAAAATACTGAAATAAAGCATTTTAGAAATTTCTTCTTAAATCTAGTTTCTTAATTCTCCATCTTAAATCCTGCAGTGAGAGAATATGAGAAATTATTGTCCAAATAAAGGAAGCAGATCTGGAAATGGAATATAATTTACCTATGTACTCAAAATATTAGAGGCTAATCTTTGATTAAACATATTACCTGATGTTAGAGTAGCATATTATCTCCTGTTTCACAAAATAATGTACAATTTAAATAGACATGTGCTTAATAAATAATGCTAGTTATATATGTAACAGTAAGTAATAAAACCCTTCTCTAACATTTGGTACCTTTTTTTTCAATAAGGCCTTGCTTGAAATTTAAAGATCTTCTTTCTAGATAAGAGAAACTTTTCACACTTTATCCAAAATATTGAAAATTTAATTTCCATATTCTAAAGTATTTTCAGTATGTACATATGTGGTCATCTTGTATAAATTTTTACAGAATATTCATTCTGATTGTTAAATATAGTAATAAAAGTATTTTAGTGTTGTCCTTTAACTGAAATCTCTATTTCAGGGCTCTCTTCTTAATGTCAAAAAGTAATTTTCAGCCTCCAAAATTAAAGGACAAAACAAAATGGTGAGTTAAAGAACGTATGGTTTTATAAAATATTTATGGTTGAAAGGGACATAGGTTTAGCTCCTTTTTTTCTTTTTTCTTTTGACAGGAATGGAAATTAAACTGAGGGCCAGCACACTAAGCTATATCCCCAGACCTTTTACACTTTTTATTTTGAGACAGAGTCTCAGTAAGTTGCCCAGGCTGGATTCAAACTTGCAACCCTCCTGCCTCAGCCTCCCAGAGTACTCAAATTACAAGCATGCACCACTACACCCTGCCGGTTTCCTTTTTTTATACAAAATGAAACCAAAGTCCAAAGGTATTAGGCAGTTTGCCCAAAGTTATACACCTATTATATTTACAGAGTTATGGTATGGACCTAGTTGGGTTTTTTTTCATAATCCACTACTCTTAATAAAATTCTTTTTCAGGCCAGGAATTTAGCTCAGTGGTTCTGCTGCCTGCCCCACAAGCAGAGTTCGATCCCTGGTACCAAAACAAAACAAAAAAATAAATAAAATTCATTTTCATGTTAACATTTTGGGTAGGAGTGTGGTGAAAAACGGATTTAAAATAAATACATGAAGATTTTGGAAATTCATCTGTTTTTACTCTATATTTCTTTACATCCATTAATTACATATTACTTTTCATAGATGGTGATGAGAAGGTTTCCAGATACTGTAACACTTAAAATCAGTCTTCATTAGTTTTTCTTATCTTCCTTCCAGTGAAAAGGTTACTTATTTTTATTTTAATCTCTTCTTTCTCTTAAAAGTAAAGCAGTTTGCCTTTTATTGTAGTTCATAAGGATGTCATCAATTGGATGGTAAGAATTCATAATTATTTTTCTGGTAATATCCTCTGTATACATTTTATAAAACAAGCAAATATCTCTCATCTGTGAGGCAGATAAAAGCTTCTAAGTTTTTAAATTCAGAAGCTCATCATCTAGATTACATGAATCTCAAGTGTCCATGAACTCCAAATCCTGTATGTATACTTATTTTTCTAGTGAGACAATCCATAACTTATTTCAGATTCTAAGAGGGCCTTCCCCCTAAATAGACTCTAAACTGCTTTATGTGTCATAACCTCTGTGGGCATAGTTTCATAGAGGAGCCAGGCCACTTTGGGGATGATGGCAGGAATAAAAGACAAGTCATGCAATGGAAATAAAAGCGTTTATATCCTATTGCTCATTGTATTGTTTTGCATTGACACTGGTTTCTTCCTATTTGCCCAAAGTTCCTAGCCATCTAGAACTGGAGGACTTTATGGCAGGAATGATTAGATATTCATTCAGGAGCAAATGCCTGTTAGGTATCAACACTAAACTCAGTAGTCATACTCCAGAGCATTCATTACCACTAGAGAATCTTTCCCAGTCTCTGATACTGTCTGACTCCATAGTATCTCTTGTGACAAGCCACCAACTGCTGTGCAATGATTACATTTCTCTGCTGGGAACTGCTATGTTGTTACCATTGCTAATGATCACGGTTATTTAGTTTCTTCGGTTCTGGTCCAGTATCTCCCACAGAGGAATCTTGGCAATGATGACAATAATCCCTCTTTATCATTAACATGTTCCTACTGGCTTAAACCACCGCCGGTGGTATATGCATGGCTGTCCCATCAGGTGCCTTGTACCATTGGTGGTACAAATGGATCTAATCACTTTTATTGGTCTTCTTACTAATACAATTAATAAAAAGCCTATAAATTGACTGAATCTAGTTGCTTGAATTTGAATAATTACTGCCCAAATATAATTCTGTTCATATCAATTTAAAAATTATTACAACAAATTTATTTCATTAAAAGAAATTTATATTCATGAATAATTTATCAATAATTCCCTAAATTTTGGGTTTTTTGGGATTTTTTTGGTACTGGAGATTGAACTCCGGTCCTTGCGCTTGCGCAGCAAGCGGCGAAACCACTGAGCTAAATCCCCAGCCCTAATTCCCTGAATTTTAACATAAAAATCTTACAAGTACCCCATTGCTGGTATATAATAGGCATTTACAACTGCCATACTGCAAATTAGCTATATTACAATTTTTTTATACCATTTTAATGTTTTCCTTAAGGAACTGTAATATGATGACATCTGGTTTGCTAGATCAGTCCCTTTCTTTGCATTATTGTAATCAAAGACTGCCAGAGAAGTGGTGTAAGCGCCCTATACGACAGTCACACATGTACCACTGGTGGTTCAAGCCAGCAGAACAACTGAATTCAATCAGAGCTGCCTGGTGCACGACATACAATTTGCTGCGCTGTTGTGAACGTGTTAATAATTAAAACATGATCCTTTTAATTTATATCTTCTCCCATTACTCACTTCACCCATGCAGGTAGAGGAAAATCCTTCTGGTTGCTAAAATCACTTCCCTTTTCTTTGTCCTTTGCCCCAGTAAATGCAGTGGCCTCTTTAGGATTCAAAAAATCTCTTATATTACTTTCTATTTTTCAAGCTCAAATTCTTAGTAGTGCAATAAGAATAGGACATTTTGACATCTAAGTGTAATAGTACCTAGAAAAGATTATAAACTATACATGGTACAGCTACCCATTCTTTAAGTTTTAGTGTAACTTTTTGAGGTTGCATATCACTGTTCTTTTACCTAATTGCATTTTATTTAAAAGGTGAAACTGACCCGGATATTTCCAAAGAATATACTGTGTTTTCGGTTTAGTTTTTTTTGGCTCATAGAGACCTAAGAGGCCTAAGGAAAAAAATCATATGTTTCAGACGTTCTAGCTCTCCTAAGTTAATTTTATTTAGTAATATCAAAACGCTAACATTAGTGAAATATTTTTGTACATGTCTCTTTTATTTTAAGGTCATCAACATTCCATAATTTTGTCAAAATAGCACTAACTAAAAACCCAAAAAAAAGACCTACTGCTGAAAGACTTCTGACTGTAAGTCATTGGAATTGTAGAGGGATTTCCTATAGTTATGCAATAATTAGGGATCACTGCAATAAAAATATTTAGATTTTTAATATAAAAATGTTAATAATCTCTTATAGCAGTGGGTCAGCAAATTTTATGTAGGGGCCAAATAGTAAATATTTCGGACTTTTTGCCTATGCAGTCTCTGTCACAACTACTGAATTCTGCCCTACCATTGTACCAATGCAGCCATGCACAGTATATATGGCATGTGTCTAGTTTTAATACCCAGTAAAACTTTATGTGCAGAAAAGAGGTAGTGCACCACATCTGGCCCCTGAGCTGAAGTTTGCTGATCTCTGCCTTAAAGAAACTCTTAAAAATGTTAGTCATCTAAAATTGTTTTTCTTAGCTGCTTACATAAATTTGTAATGTGCTTTGTATGTTTATATGTGTAAAAACTTTTGTATGAGAAAAAAATCAGTGCTTAGAACTTAAAAGTTAACAGTTTAACTGAATTATATACAAATGTAGAATAGCATGCTTTTTTTCTGATTGTGATTATAATATCATTTGCATATCACTAATGTCCTGAATAATGAATGTCATTGGTGTAGGTGAAGTCACAACTTATAACCTAATATAGATCAGATAAGCAACTATTCACTTTTTAAACTTATCCACAAAAAGATTTTATTATATAATTACTATTATGGATTTACTAATTAGTATTTTTACTAATACATTTTCAGTTTATTTGGACTAGTAGACTTCCTTGCATGTCTTTCCTTGTTACTGAAAGAAAAAGTACAAATAACATTTTCTTTAAGCAATAAATGTAAAGGCATATTCATGAAATTTTATTTTGTTTCATTTTTTACTTAGCATACTTTTGTTGGACAGCCAGGTCTCTCTAGGGCCCTAGCAGTTGAACTGTTAGACAAAGTGAACAATCCTGACAACCATGCACATTACATCGAAGGAGATGATGATGATTTTGAGGTAAGGGAGTATTTGCACACTAATATTTGAAAACAGATATTTCATTTTAGTTAAGATAAGTAACTACAAATGCTAACACCATAAACTACATTTATTCTGTATAAAATTACCAGTAGATACAGTTTTAATGTGGTGTAATATTCATGACATGACCTATTGATACTTAATCCTAGCTCGAACTAGTTAACATGTTGTCTTTTTATTTTCCTAGTTTGGTTTGCCTGGACTTTTTAAGAGAGAGATAGCTGAGGTTAAAAGCAGATTTGCCCTCCCTCCTTCCCTACATTCACACCTGGGGAGTCCAGAGCTGCTTTCCCTTCTCCCTGGATCTCAGCTTCTTCAGTGACGGTCTTATCTTCCCGTAGGGCATGTGTAAAGGACAGCTGTTTTCTAGGAAATAAAGGTTCAGACAATTACTTTGGACTAAGAAAAAGTTTAGTCATAGGACATATGCATATTATTTTCACAAAAAAATCTCCTTAGAAATTCAGTTAACCATTTTTTTCTCTGTTTATCAACACAAATGATTTTAAAGAATTAAGTTAAAATTCTCATTAGAAAATATCCTTTCCAATACTTCTTCAAAAGTATTATTTCTTAAATAAGTACATATAAGACTATTATATATCCATGCTTTCCTTCTCTGAAAATATGGTAGAGTTATTTTGAATATATCATATATAGCACAACTTGTATATGAAGAATGTGGACCTTCCTAAACATTGGCGGGTACCTCTTTATTCTTATTCTTATGTCTAACACAATTGTATTTTTTTAGCAGTGTCTTATTCTCTCCTTGTGTTTCTTCTCCTTTTATGATTCATTTTTATTTCTTTAAACCAGTCTCTTCATTTATCTTTATGCTTTTATTTTCATCTATATCTCTACCTTCAATTTTGACAAAAATATACAACTAAATCTTATGTTAATTTTTTATTAAAAAGAATTTTCTATTTCTTGTTCATAAGTTAAATTATACTTTGTAAGTATCATATTAACTACTAACATTCATTTGATACTCATGTATCTAGTATTAGGCCCCAAAATTTCCATGTTAATTCATCTAATACTCAAAACTGTCCTTTGTAGTAGGTGCTGTTATTAATATCCTTGTTTTACAAATGAGGAAATGAGGGACAAAGACTAGTAGTAATTTGCCAGGAGCATATGACTAATAAGTATGGAACCAGGATTTAGATCCAGGCAAACTAACCTCCAAAGTCCACTCTCTTAATACACTATCATTTCTGTGTAAGTACTTAATAGTCATTAGACAGTTTTTAAAAACTAATCTTATCCTCATTGCCTAGTACATAGTATAATTCTGTCATATATTAAGTAGTCAGTGAATAGTTTGTTAAATGGTAAATTAACTTCAGTTGAAAACATTAACTAAATTAGCCATATATAGATTTTTTCACTTAAGCCATCATTTTTCAGACTTGCAATTAATAAATGTTTTAATCCCTTAAAGATTCAAAAATACTAAAATTTATAGCATGTAGAATCAGATATTACTTGATTCCCCAATTAATCGCTCACTGATTATATAAATATGCAAACCCTCCCCCCCCATACCACTTTGCTAGGTTTCCCACTCTCTCCCTATGTTCTGAATTTTCTTTTTCTGTTTAATGATATCACTGTTTTTTTCAATCCTTGAAATGCAGAACCTTCTATCAAATAGTTGGGGCCACAGTGATAGATAAAACTGACCACCCTGGCCTTCATAGAACTTACAGTATAATCTCAAAGGAGATTCAGAAGTACCAACAAATAATGCACGAATGTGACAAGTACTATGGAATGAGAACTAAAGGGAGCTATGGAGGCATATTGTGGGGATAGGAAAGAGCTCACTCTAAAGTGATACTTAAACTGCAAAACTGAGTGATTAGAGGAAGACAGCAAGAGTAAGTGTTACGAGCAGAGGAAATAATAGCATGTTTGAAAGCTGGTGATAAGAAAGACAGTTGTATACATGAGGAACTGAAGAAAAGTTGCTCTGGCTAGAACAGAAAACAAGGAAGGAAGTGGTATAACATGAAGTTACAAAGCTAGATACCGGCTATCTTAAAATGAATGTTTAAATATTTAGGCTTTAGCCTAACAGTGGTAGCGTAGGAAGCCATTAAAGGTTAAGAGTGTGGCATAATCAGATGTGCATTTTTAAAAGATCTCTGAATTCAAAATGGTGACTCTATTACTGAAAACCTTTTAAGCCACTACAGCTGTTATTATCGTGGATAGAAGAGTATTAACTAGGGTGGTAAACGATGAAGAGAAGTAGATTAATTTAAGAACTATTTGAGAGAGTTGGTGATTAGATGAAGACCTGGTATTGAAGAATGAAAAAAGAATTACTACCAGATTTTGACTTAGCTAGGAGAATATAATCATTAATTGAGGTGGGAACACTAGGGTAAAATCAGTATGGAAAGAAAGATGAGATCAGTTTCATACTGAACAAGATGTTGCATAAGATTTTCAGGCGAAGTCTAGTAAGGAGCTAGAAAGGTTGTTGTAGCTTGGGGAGAAAAGTCTGTACTACAAATATAGATGTGAGAGTTACAGGATCCAGGTGTAGTTGTACTCATAAATGTAGGCACCAAAGAAACCATGGTAGAGTGACAAAAGAAGAAAGCCGAGGACAGAACTCAAGTTTCTCCCAAATTTTAAGAATCAAGTTGAAGGGCTGGGGATTTAGCTCAGTGGTGCCACACTTCCCTCGAAAGGAAGCACAAGGTCCTGAGTTTGATCCCTGGTTGGGGCGGGGGGGGGGGGTCAAATTGGCAAAGGAGATTGATAAGGGACATTATAAGAAGGAGGGTTTCAATAAGAGTATTTCCTAGAAGTTCAAGAAGTCTTTGTGCTTAGGTGGTAGTGTGTAGTGTATGATCCCTTTAACAAGGGTAATTTGCAAATAATGCAGGGGAAGCTAGATTGGAGGGGCTTGAGAGATAAATACAGTAAGTTATTTATGAAATTCAGTTGTGAAGGGATGAGTAGCATAGATCAGTATCGAGAGAATGAGTTGGAGAGGGATGTTTTCATTAGTTGGTTGTGTTTTATGTGAGGGAATAAAAAAAGAAGTTAAGAGTGCAGTATGTTAAAAGCTCTTAAATCCAGAACTATGGACCCACATCAGCTTTTGATGGTGGATTTTCAAGTACAGAAAAAAATACAAGCCACTTTTAGAGCCATCAGTGAATGAGAACAAGTCATCAGAAATTCGGTAGATGGGGTTGAGCCAAAGGCATAGCTTCAAAGGAGCAGGAGCTTCTACAAGAAGGTGAAAGTGATAAACTTCTTATTCTGCTTACAGTATCTTAATCTCCTGTATCCAGTGTTGTTCTCCTCCATATTCTCTTAGACACTTAGCAGATGCTGATCTTGGTCCTTTGCTGTAAAAATCTCCAAAGTTGAGAGCCCTTGCCTGACATTCAGGGTCTTTCACGATTGGCTCACCTCCAGTCTGTCTTTTCAGCTTTGTCATCTTTTCACGTAATCTTCACTGCCACGAGGTAACAACCAGCCCCTACTCCTTGCAAAATGCTCCACAGTTTCCTTTTCTTTCTTTTCATCCCTTTGTTCATATTCTTTCTGTACTCTTAACACTTCTCCCACGCTGCTGCATATCAACACCTACTCATACTTGAGGGCCCTGGGTGAGATTACAGCTTTCTCAGGCAGAACTGGCCTACTCTTGCAGGTCAGTATAGAAGTCAGTTTCCCCTCCACTGAGCTTCAGTAGTAATCCATTTATCTTAATAAATGACACTTACCATTATCTAATTTTGTAAATATTTGTTTGTCTTATAAAAAAACTGTTTGAGAATAAGATTTGTGTCTGACAGTCTTTGAATCCTTCATCATTTTACATAGTATAAACATAGAATAAATTTCTGAAGTATCTATTAATATTTTTCCTATAATTTTATTAGTAGATAATCATATTTGTCAGTAAGCAATTACCTAAAGTAAAGTTTGACCTTTTCACTTGATCATTGAAATTTTTAAAGTGTGTATATTATGCTTGTGTTTATAGCCCCATGCGGTCATTCGTCACACCATCAGATCAACAAACAGGAATGCCAGAGCTGAGCGGACAGCTTCCGAAATAAACTGTATGTGTTTGGTATACATTTTCCATTGGCAGATATGGAGGGATGAACTGTGTATTTTTCTTTTTATGGAATAATAAAATCTGACTAATTGAAGCTTCATACTTTAACATATCAGAATACCTCTAAAATATACATGGGTGGCTTTTCTGACTTTATTGCAATTTCCATAGATTATAGTTTTTAATCATTTGCTATTATAAAGATAATAGTGTCCATTGCAGGAAATTTACAAAAAGGAAACAAAATAGAAAATTAACACTGCACATAATCATAGCATCCCAAGCCAAGCCATAGTTTTTTTTGCCAAATTTCCTTCACACTTTCCATGTACATATATTTTTATGCAGTTGAACTAATACTATCCATACAATTTTATTCAATATAGAAATATTTTCCATATATTAGCATAGCTTTTGTAATCATTATGTTTAATAGTTGCATAATGTTTTATTAATTGATATATAATAGGTAGTTCCCTATTGTTGAGCATTTGGTTTGGTTTCAGTTTTTTTAGTCAGATTAGCGTAAAAACAATTAGCATAAAAAGGAAGATTGATTTTTTTAATTTAATAAATTAATGATTGACATAACATTTTGTATCAGCCATTTGTTAAAATAACAAGTTGGAAAGAAGTTTTAGGTATGTGTTTATTGACTTAAATGCATACTTGTTTTAAGAGAGTTAAAATAATTTACAGTAAAATGTGATATTTGACTAACAATACAAGAACCATAAACCATCATAGAAGATAATTCATTACATATTTGGGCTAATTAAAAGTATTGCAGATGGGTGCTTTAAGTCTGCATTTCTTTGAATCTAAGTATTTCTGTCTCTTCAGACATAGATTTAGAAAGCTAAGCATTAGAATATCCTTCTAATATCACTTGTTTGAACCAGGACGTTTCATAATTAAGCCAGTAATTCAAGATTTAGTGTCTTTGTTAGTGCCCCGGTTGCTGTTATCTTATGTTGTTGTCTTACACAATCTCAGTTGAACTCCATGGGCTTCAGATACCAGGTAGAAAAGTGACAAAGTTTATATTCCTTATTATATACAGGTGTATACCATTAATTGAATTCATTTTTTATTTAATAGTCTTTGAGTTTTATGTCATATTTAGCCAGGCCTTTTGATTCCAAGGTTACAAAAGAATTTTCTTAGGGTTTCTTATTGTGTTTTCTTTTTTCTTTTTTCTTTTTTTTTTTTCGGTACCAGGGATCGAACTCGGTACCTTGCGCTTACAAGGCAGGCGGCAGAACCACTGAGCTAAATCCCCAACCCCTGTATTTTCTTTTTCAAAAATATTTAAACCTTTATTATAAAGTATTTGGTAGAGATATAAAGTATCAGTTCAACTTCAGTTTCTGTATAGATGACTTCCAATTTGTCTCAGTACTATTATTAAATATTTTAATCTTTGTACTCGGGAATTTCAGTATGCTATCTTTATTTTAATACTAATTCTCTTACATGCTTAGGACTTTTCCTGGAAATTCTGTTCTGTTGCATTAATATGTGTATTCATGTGCCAGTGACATATATTTTATTATTATATCTGTTAAAATCTATTAGAACTATTCTTCTATCTCACTTCCCTGTGTATATATACATGTACCTTGTTTTATTATTATGATATTTGGCTTATTTCCCCATATAAATTTAAGTTAAGAATTAACTTACCTAGTTGAAAATAGTCTTAATATTTTTCTTCATATCTCATTTATATTTTAACTTTGGGATAATTGACATCATTATAATATTTACCCTTAACCAAAATAAGATTTTTAAGGGAAAAGTTCAAGATTTCATTCTTTTATGAGTGCTTAGAATGCTAACATCCTCACAGAATAACACTGTGTGCTTCAGGTACCAGATAGAAAGCAGTAGAGTTGGGCCGGGGATTTAGCTCAGTGGTGCTGCACCTGCCTCACAAGCACAAGGTCCTGAGTTCGATCCCTGATACCACAAACCACCCCCCCCCAAAAAGAAAGCAATAGAGTTTAAGATCATTTTACTGATAATTTATCTGTCTTTAAATTTGTCTCTATCAGGAGTGTTTTGCAGCTTTGCTGTTGCTTAATGGATTTTATACACGTCTGGTTGGTTCTGTTCTATTTCTTTTGTTTCAGGTTTGTTTGTTTTTTTAAACAAGGTCTCCCTATGTAGTTCAGGCTGACCTCAAACTCTCACGATTTCCCTGCCTCAGCCTCCTGAGTGCTGGGATTACAGGCATGGGCCCAGCTTGCTTCAGTTTTTTAAATTGGGCTGGTAACATATACAGTAAAATGTTCAAGTCTTAAATAACACTGTATTTTAAAGTATGCATACATTCATATGGCTACCACCTGGCTCAAAGTAGGGAACACGATGCAAATCTCAGAAGGTTCTCGTGCTCCACAGCCAGTACCCTCCTATGCTCTACTCCTCCGCCGTCCTTTGCCCAGACTAGTCACTGTACTAAGTGCTGTCATCAGAGGTTGCTTTTTACCCAGTCTTGATCTTCAGACAGACAAAATCATAAATGTCACTCTTTTGTTCCTGGCTTCTTTTGTTCAACATTATGTCTATGAGAGTCATTCATGTCATGTATAGCAATAGTTCGATGTTTTCACCATAGTGTAGTATTCCATTGTGTTATCATACCATAGTTTATCTATTCTTCTGTTGACAGGTTTGTTTCTAGTTTGGAGCTATTATGACTGTCATAAGCATTCTTACTATATGTATTTAGTGGACATAAATAATGCTATGAACCTGGCCCAACCAATCTAAGACCACTGAGACAAATGTACAGTCCAACAAAATTAGACTTACTGACTCTTTGCAGTGAAAGAGGACACATACATAGGAGCCGTAGACCATTTTATGACAAGAAAACACAAGATATATATATATAGGATTTTGAGAAAAGTGGAGTTTAGGTGAAATTTAATGTGTATAAAAGGGTAAACATCAGGTCTGTGCTTAAGAGTAGACCTAGAAATGTTGTGTTCAGAAAAGCCTTTATTTGTAGCTCAACATTTGTGTTAGAAATTGAGTCGGCTCCTGTTTGTCCATGACTTCGATCTTCCAGGCAAGAATAGAATGATTCATTGTAATGAATATGATTGTACACAGGAAAGTTTGTGAGAGTCTGTGATTTCAAAGAATGAGGTTTCTCAGTAAGAAAGCAGTATAATTCAGAGAGGGGTCATTATATGAAACTTTACATATACAGAATATCCTTGGAAGAAACACTGTTTCTTATTAACTTTGCATTTGGGATTTTGTCTGTCCTCTCAGCCGAAAGAATAGAAAGTAAGAATTCTTTACTTTCTTGGTCTGATGCAGATATACAAGCTTGTAAATGTATTAACCATATTACATAATTTTTTGAATTTTGTCATTTAAAAAGTCAGCCCATGATTGAATCCATTTACCTAGGAAATCAACTGGTTATAATGAATTGGCACCAAAAATGGGAGGTATCCACAGGAAAATGAGTATAGGCCCAACCATGGGTTTGTTTGGTTTTAGCTGACTCAAGAATAAGTTTCAGCCAAGTGTTTTTATTATACAGAGAACTGACTAGGTAAAAACAGCAATATTAAGAAATATGGGCTGGGCCAGGAATTTAGCTCAGTGGCTAGCCTCACAAGCTCAAGGTCCTGAGTTTGATCCCCAGTACCAGAAAAAAGAAAGAAAGATGGGCTGTACAAGTATCATAATTAAAAGATAGCAAGTGTCTGTCACTACTACAATACTTTGATTATCAGAGGGAGAGGAAATGTTGCTAAGAAAAGAAGGTACATAGCCAAATATACAGATTCATGTATGAGAATCAGTGGCTCCAGTCATCTTGTCCCATGGTTCTGGGGCACATGTACTTCATGTAGTCATTGGCCTGGTCTAGTAGACTTGGGTGAAAGCGGTCTTCTTTTTGTACTTATTTGGCTCTAAAGGATTCCCTGACTTTTCTGGTTCAAGGTGTCCTGTTGGAACAGTCTTCTGGTCATTTAAAATAAGTGTCTCTAAGGATCAACATCTTGCTCTGCTGTTGTGTTATTAACAGAAGCTGGCAAGATTCTGTTCATGGAGGTTGGTCAGAGAACAGGTCAGAAGACTTTCTGAAATTTAAATCGGTTGTGTCAGAGGAAAATTTCATGGACCTATTTGACATGAAACTGTGTGTGCTATAACTAGGGAAGTGGGAGTGGAGAACAGTATTCTTACATGTATTGGATGCTTGGGCTTTGGTTCATTGAGAGTTAATGGGCACCAGGGATAATGATCTCTCTGTTATTCAGGCAGAGTGAAAAAAACAAAACCTTGGGCTGAGGAAGTCTGAGAATTTTGCAAAGTTTACCCAATTTAAGTTTAAAAACTCTGTCTTTTTTATCTTTACCTGATGACTGAGGGTGGTAAAGGTAATGAGGTTTTAGTAAAATGTATTGTCTTGCAAATCTCCTTAATAACACTTCTGGGAAAGTGGGTGCTTCTGCCTCTTGGAGGACAGACTTCCCAGGTAAGGAAGCACTAACTCAAGCAGTTGTTTTGACTTTGCCATTCTTAAAGTTGAGGCTTTTTGACAAGCTTTATCCACCCTAAAAATAGAACATGGTTACCATATCAAAACTTTTACTGCCTGAAAAACTGTTTTTGAAAAATACATGAATTTAAGCTGCAGATTACAGCCCAATTCATGACATCAATTCATATTTCTTTTTTTTAACAAATACACTTTTTTATTATTTATTTTTATTTTTTATTAGTTTAAATCTTTAAGGGGCAGTGTCTCATAGGTTCTGTGTCCAATCAATGGCCTTAGCAGAAAGGCTGCTTCAGAGCTTGGCAGCAGCTGTGCCCATTTCCATGGGCATGAGTTACCTTCCCCAGATTACCCTTGTTTTGTTCAGTTTGCCACCAGGAATTTACTGTGGTGTGTTTTGCTTTGCACACATAATTATGCCTGTCGTTGGTCTGAGCAGGATTCAGTTTCAACTTGGGCCACAGACACCTTCAGTTAGAGTAAGAGCTGTGAGCGCCCTGTTTCCAGAGACCCTGCTTACAGCTGGCAGAAGTGGCCTTGTACTGCACCACACAGCTGCCTTTAGAAGCCCTGTTCCCAGCAGCCTCCAGAGTCTGCAAGAAGGCAGACGGAGCAAGCTTTAAACACATAACACATACACATGGACAGTCCTGCAGTAGAAACTTTTGTGATTTTTATTTTGTTTTTTAGTAGTTTGACTATGGTGTATTCAAATGTAATTTTCTTTGTGTTGGTTTTTTTCTGTGGTTCATTACCCTTCTTTTCAATGGGTTGATACTTTTCATCAAATTTGGAAAATATTTGGCTGCTGTTTCTTCAAGCTTCCTGCCCAGTCCCCTCTGATTCTGGGACTCAAGTTACTGTTAATTCACTTGTGTCACAAGCCACTGGGGCTTTGTTCTCCCTTTCTGCTCCTCAAGTCAGCAGAGACAGGTTTTGATGTTGTTATTCTCTGCACTTCAGTTTCACTTCTGTTGCCCTGATGACATGGTCATCAATCTTTTCCTTTATGGCCTTCAGGCTGCTGTTAGGCTCATCCAGTGGGTTTTATTTCAGATATTTTTCAAATCTAAATTTCAGGCTACTTCTCTACAGATTGTCTGCTCACTTGTGTACGCTTGTTTCCTTGAACATATTTTTAATATCTGCTGATTTCGACCTCTCCATCATCTCTGGGTCTGTTTCTATTAATTTTTATTCAAAGTTTTTATTCAAAATGGCTGCTTTTTAAATGATATCTTAGTGTAGTACAGTGTTGAACCCTAAGTGGTTTACAGCATAAGGGTAGGTCTAATTCCATTTATTTCATCATGGCTAGCACTGGATCATCTTTTAGAGATTATGGAGAATATATGATAGAAGGCCTCCCCACCTTTGTCCTAGACCAAAGACACCAAAGGCACTAGAGGGATTTTCTTTTTTTAAAAAATGGCTGTCTAGTCTGACACACAAAACAAAAATAGGAGATTCCAACAGTCTGTGTTGTAAGACTTGACTATAATAATTTTAGACTAGTCATAAGGAATTATTTTAGGGATACCTTTTCTTACATAAAACAAAACATTTTAAATATCCTATTTAAATGAAATCTCATTTTCAGTAACTAACCCTGGTAAATTAGGATGCAGTTGATATTTTAGTTTATCTTTAAATTATGAAATTCATTTTCTTTAGGTATTATTTTTTCTATACTGGCTGGCCTTGACCTTGCAATCCTCCTGCCTCAGCCTCCCAAAAAGCTGAGATTACAGGCGTACACTACCGTACCAGGCTAGGAATTTTTTAAATCTTTAAATCATCAATATAATACTAGATTCCTGAACACTGTTGTAACATTTAATTTGACAAATTATTTGTTAATCAATAGGTAATTTTCTTGATTCTTCTCTGCCACAAAGCTGTAGCTTAAATTGGTCTCAGAACAAAATCTGCAGCATAGAGAAAATCCTTAAATTCTTCCTTAGCTGCTTCTGGTGAATTTTTTTAAATTTTCTTTTAAACAAAAAGTACTTTCTAATTTCCTGATTTCAATTACGAATTAAGCAGATATGTTAGGAATGCCCTAAATTGTTGATTTCTTTTGGTAAGCCTTTAAAAAGGGGATACTTTTATAGTAAAAAAGTAAAATCATTTTCCTTCTGTTCCTTTTCTCTTCCTCCCTCCCCCAAACAAACACACAAACTTCTCATTACATTTCTGAGACAAGCCTCGATGACACTCAGTTTGTATATATCTATTACATATTTTGCAGTTGACAAATTACAATTTGAACCTCCTCTAAGAAAAGAAACAGAAGCTCGGGATGAAATGGTAAGAACTGTGACTTTAAAATATTTGCACATTAAATTTTAGAAATAGAGCTGGTTACTGTCTTAGTTACTTTTCTGTCGTTGCTGAGACAAAATACCTGAAGGTATTTAGCGGGGAAAGGTTTATTTAGCTCACAGCCTGTAGAGGTTTCAGTCCCTAGTTGGCTGGCTCCAAGGCAGCGGGGCACATGGCAAGCAGAAGACAGCAAAAGCAGGCAGTGAAACTCAACAGTCTTTCTGCCCCTTTTATCTTCCCCAGACTGCTTTGGGCAGGTAGCCCTCACACCCTTAATCCTAGTGCCCTTGGCCCTAGCATTGCACCCTGAATCAGTCACACACTCTAGATTCAGCCTCCTCAAAAAAGCCCCATCTAAGACTATGAGGCTTTGAGGGGACATCTAGTCACAAACCGTAACAGTTACACTCTAAGAAACAAGTAATATACCCTTTAGCATTAATTTTAATAATGTATTTCTCACACTGTGGTTTGAAAAAGTTGACAGGTGAACTCTGAGGAGGGTGCAGTATAATACATTATTTCACCATTCATTTTGACTCTTCAGAGTCTTTCAAAGAATTTAGGTGAATTTATTAAACATTGAAGGGAATGCTCAGCTTTAAGCTCTAAGGGTCTTTTTCTTACTGATTCTGTTAGGTTTGCAGTAAATACATTCTTTCATTGTCTTACTATTTTTTAAAAGTATCTCATTTGTGGGGCTAGGGATATTGCTCAGTGGTAATATTTGCTTAGCTTGTGTGAGACCCTGAGTTCAATCCTACCACAACCAAAAAAAAGGAAAGGAAGCAAAAAATACATATATTTTATCCACTGGTCTTTTTTGGTGGTACTAGGGAGTGAACCCAAACCCAGTGCCTTTGCACTAAGCTACAACCTTTCCCCTTTTTATTATTGTATTTTTGAAACAAGATCTCCCTAACTGACAAAATTGCCCAGGCTGGGCTCAAACTTGTGACCCTCCTGTTTTAGCTTCCCCAAGTACTGGGATTACAGATGTGCACCACCACTCCTTGCTCCTATTTTGAGTTAATTTGAGATAACTGCTTAGTTAACCTTTTCCTTATCTAAAAGGATAGAATAAGTAAAGCAGAATATTCTTAGAGTTAGCCTAGATGTTACCTTAATATCTACTTTAATTAATAAAAGTAATAGGGGTTTTTTTTGGTTTTTGGTACCAGGGATTGAACTCGGGACCTTGCACTTGCAAGGCAGGCAGTGGCACCACTGAGCTAAATCCCCACTAAAAGTATAGTTTTTAGAGTAAAGGTCTTCTGTTAATGGATCTCTTCATTCTTAACGTTCAGAAATTGTTTTTCTTTCTGTATATGTTTCTATATAATTCTCAGTTTCTTTGCTAATAGGAAAAAGAGGTAGCATAGTTTAGTAACAAATAAATGATAGCCAGGGATTTAGCTCAGTGGTGCCACCGCCTGCCTCGCAAGCACAAGGTCCTGAGTTTGATCCCCAGTACAAAAAAAAAAAAGATAACTTAATAAATGTTATTAGTTATCCATGTTAATGGAGTAGTGATACAAATAATTGAAAGTTAGTTTTGCTTCAGAATATACCAGCATATTAGGTAAGAGAGCTTAATGCATTTGAAGCTATGTTTATTGTGTTTGTGGAACTTCTAAAATTCATGTCAACTGATGATGAGCCATTGGCTTAAATATGTCAAATGGAAAAGCAAATCTAGCTGGATATTTAAAAATTATCTCTAATGCCATGACAACACTCATGACACTGAAGTTTTTCTGTGGTTGGTACCTGTAAATAATGTTAATGTTTATATGTTTATATTAATAGTATAATATTAACATTTATTAATATTAAGATAGTTAATATCTGAAAGTTTTTGAAACTGTATTTTTAATCTTCACAGGGAATATCATCAGATTCAAACTTTTTATTACGGTGGAATCCTTTTGTTGATGGTGCAAATACTGGCAAGTAAGTTGTTTTTTTCTAATTAATAAACTATTTTACTTGGTTATATAAAACAGTAGTAGGGAGGGAATAATTTGTTGTAAAAATCTCTTTTTCTTAAAAAAGCTGTCAGTGGAAAGCTTCTGACTTTCATTACCAAAAGGCATCCTACTTTGATTATTAAAGTTTTTGTTTTTCGTTTTAATCAGAATATATTGTGTACAATAATACTGTATTGAAAAGTGAACCGTGGGCTGTCATGAAGGAAGAAAGACCACAGTGGGAATCAGAAAGCCCCAGGCCCATGACCCCAGTGGAGTTACTCCATACCCTGGGCCTGTCTTCTTCCCTCAACAGCTAGGCCAGGAACTGTGGGCTGTTCACCTGTCTGTACAAAGCAATCACCTAGAGAGCTCTTAAGAAATACAGATTCCTGAGTCCTCACACTGTGCCTGTAGATGTGGAACTGACAGGCAGTAGCCTGTTGGGCCAATACACTAAGAGTATATTTTTTGATGGTTGAAAAAGTCAAATGAAGAATTCATTTTGTTACATGTGAAAATTGCATGAAATTCAGATTTCATTGTCATCAAGGCTTATTGGAACACAGTTATATCCATGAATTTACATACTGTCTACAGCTGGTTTCACACTACATAAGCAGAGTTGCACCTACTGTATGCATTGCAAAACCTATAGTATTTACTGTTTGGCCCTCTACAGAAAAAGGTTGCAGACCACTGCTGTAGAATATAGTCTTTGAGACTGGAATCTAAGAATCCTGAACGCTTCTCATCTGATAGCAGTTAACTGTGTATAAGTATGTATGAGCAGTGGGCTAGATCAGTGCTTCTCAGACTTTTATCTGCCTGTTGACCAGCTGGAGGTCTTGTTAAAATGCAGATTCTGATTCAGTAGGTCTAAAGAACAATGGTTCTCAGTGATGCCATTGTTACTGATCTGACATACTTTGAGTAACAAAGGGTTTGATCATATAGCCACTTGAGTCTATAAGTTTCAGAATTTAAAATTTTTGAATTCAAAGTACATTTTAAGTTTAATTACATATTACATATATTCTGAGGCAACACAATGATTTTTTACAACATTCCTTAAAGACAGTTGTTGTGCTATTTATACAATACAGAAAAGCATCAATGAGAATTTAGACGCACATAAAAAAAGAAAACAATTATTAGAGAATAAGTCATAATAAATCAGTGGTCTTTGATTTAAATAAAAATGAAGCTTATGGTCAAATTTCTGTCTTAAAAGGTACAAAAGCAGTTAAGATAATCATATTTTGTGCTGTTTTTGCAGGATTAAGTAGTATTACTTTACATTTATAATAAAGCTAATTTCATTTATTCAACAAATAAACTTTAGAAAAATAATTGTACTGTTGTTTTCTGAAGTAAATTAAAAATTACATAGCAAAATGCTTTTTTATAGATAAAGTTTTTGAACATAATGGGTAACACACCAATAATAATGCACAGGCTTTGACCAGAATTATGGATTTTTAAATTGTTTTTATTTTTACGTTTTATTTGGTGTTGGTGATTAAACTCAGAGCATTGCACATACTAAGTGTTTTCTCTACCACTGACCTGCACCCTTAGGTCAGTTCACCTTAGGTGAATTTACTTTTTACTGGTAAGTTTTAGTTTTTATTACAAGTTAAATCAAGCATAACTATAAAGTTTTCTAATTTTTATTAGTACATTTTCCAGTACATAATCATTACATTCATTGTGGCAAGTTGGTACATGTACATAACATATTACATCCCCTTCCCTTCCCGTTTTTTTCCTCTTCCCTCCATTTCTTGGTCCCACTCCCTTTTGCAAAAGATGTTTCCTATTATCTGTCTTTTAGTTTGCTCTTTAATTTATTCAAATTTTATGTTTCTCATGTAAGAAAAACCATGTGATATTTAAGCTGTGTGCCTGATTTCTTTCGCTTAACATTATGTTCTCAAGGTCCATCTATTTTCCTTCAAACGACTCCAATTTGTCTTTATAGCAGAATAGTACTCCATTGTATATAAATACATCAAGTACAACTGTAAACTAATACAACTTAACAATATGAGGTCTTAGGTCTTCCCAAAGGCTTTATATTCTATATCATAATATATGTCTTTTTCTCTGAACAGATTTTAATGCATATTTAAATAGTGTCTTTGTTTTATGTAGTGGTCATTTATCACCAACTAAACTGCATTTTTTTTCTTTGTATTAGATCAACCTCAAAACGTGCAGTACCACCTCCCCTACCTCCTAAGGTAAGCTATTTAAGGATTTTGAACAGTAAATCCTTATCTAAATAATTACATTCTAAAAAATAATTTTGTTCAAAGTTTTCTTAAATATATTCCAGATGGATAAAATTTTCTGCAAGAGAGACTGTGAAGATATAAAATATATAATAATATTTCAGGAGACATAGAATATTTTAATAGCTACTAGAAAAAGAAAATAGGTTATTGCTCATTTGAGAAAATACTTGAGTGCACAGAGGGAAACATCACGTCACCTCGTTTATTACTACAATTTGACATTTCAGCAGAATTGTACTTCATTAAATCATTCTCCTTGATTGTTTTTAGTTATTAAATATTTTGTGGACTGCTTGCATAATGTATTAGTTGTAGAATTGTTACCAGTTTTGGATTAGAGCTGATTAAAGAATCAAAAGTTCATAGTTGGGTTGGGACAGCAAGTCTACTCTTGCTTACTTTTTTACTTTGTGCAGTAAATTTAACTATATAGAAGAAAGAAAAAGGGTGCCTCCCTGACCTCCCAAAGCCTGTGATATTTAATGATAACTCTTAGTAGTTTTCATTTAGACTTTTTAAACTACTTTCTTATCTTTTTATCACTAGCCAAAGATAAACAGTTACTCTGAAGACAGCTTCCCAGATGAAGAAAAATCATCAACAGTGAAACGTTGCCCTGATTCAGATAACAGAGCTCCCCAGATTCTGAGAAGACAGAGCAGCCCAAGTTGTGGTCTTGTAGCTGAGACTTCCTCTATGGGTATGGCTAGCAGTGTCACCAGCCGTGGAGTGCATACAGCTAGATACTGTGATCTGGGTAAATCACTGAAAAGGGAAAAGAAAGCCTTTTTTCTGTAGCCAATCCTATTACATTTTAAGCTTTGTGAAGGTTCTTTAATTCCCCATGGAGGAACTATAAATAGATTAAGTACATGTTAACCCTAATTGGAACCCTTATTAATTATTAATAAAGTGAATTGTGTTCTTGCCTTACGAGAATTTAGGGGCTACTGCAGAAGTTATATCTGTATGCTCATAACATTAGATAAGACAGCTTGTATGGGTGTCTCCTAAAATAATAACTATGTAGTAGAAAAAATGAAATTTCTAAGTGAAGTAGGAATAGAGAGGAAGGGGCTGTTGCAGGGCAATAAAAGGTTCTGTGAGCCTTCAGTAGGTGGAGCCATTGGTGACAAGGTATTCTTGGAGAATAAGAAACGGTGTGTAGATGCACCAAGGCAGGAAAAAATGTGCGTTGTGTTTGAAGTACAGTAGAAAATAGTATAAGTGCGATATTTAAAGGGAAAATAGGACCGAAAATGCAGATTGAGTTCAATTATGAAAGGCCTTTGAACATCAATGTCAGTAGGTTGGATTCCATTTTTCCTCGAAATGTAGAAAACTGTCTATTGTCTTCATAGATTAAGAGCACTGCTGAAGATGCAGTGCAGCCTCTACATAATCTAGAGAAAGGCACAAAGAGAAATGAATTCATCTGACAGTAGAAAATACTCCCCCATAAAGGATCACCCAAGAGAAGAAAGGTGGTGGTGGTATTTTTCCAAATATGTGCTTATTTGTGTGCTCATTCAACTTTGAACCATGATTCTCTTTAGGAAATGGCTATGGTATCTCCAAACTAATTAGTGAAAATACAGAAGGATCAGCACAAGCACCACAGTTGCCACGAAAAAAGGACAAGCGAGACTTCCCTGTAGGTACAACAGGCATTTAGCAATCAGTTGCAACTAATACTATATTTAATATCATGAAGGGGAATGGTGTTTTTAAGAATTTGAATAATTGATGGGCCGGGGATTTAGCTCAGTGGTTTCGCTGCCTGCTGCAAAAATGCAAGGACCTGAGTTTGATCCCCAGTACCAAAAAAAAAAAAAGAATTTGAATAATTGGAGCTGGGTATGGTGGTGTGTGCCTGTTGTCCCTGCAACTCCAGAGGCTGAGGCAGCAGTATCACGTGACCCCCGGAGTTTGGGGCCACCCTGGGCTACATAGCAAGACCCTATCTCTTAAATTTAAAAAAAAAATTGGATAACTGAATTTCTAAATGGCAACTTTTTTTGAGACTTAGGAAGTGTCTTATAGTGTTTTTGTTTGTTTGTTTTGTTTTGTTTTGTTTTTTACAGAAACCAGCCATCAATGGCCTTCCACCTACCCCAAAAGTCCTGGTAAGGAATATTTTTCTGTAATCTCTTTGCCATTTTTTATCTCTTTTTTAGAGCAGAATTTCAGGGCCGGGGATTTAGCTCAGTGGTTCTGCCGCCTGTCTCGCAAGCACAAGGACCCAAGTTCGATCCCCCATACCAAAAAAAAAAGAGCAGAATTACATTTGTTATCAAGTATATTGAACCTTTAAATGGAAGGATATTATAACATATGAAAGTATTAGAAACATTTGGATGTAGCATGGATCAAATCATGTATTCTAATTTGAGTGAATTGATTAGAATTTAGAGAGTATTTCATTTTTTTATAAATACTGGCCATCGGGTTCTCAGTTTAGCCTAAAAAGGCCAATATAATTTTAATGTGATGATGTTAAGTGTAGATTGTCCTCTTCTTTGTACCCTTGAAGCCATTTTCACAGTGACTGGGTACAGTGAAATGGGAAATTTATCTAACACTTGTTCTATGGACCTATCTCTGAGGACTCTATCTCAGAGATGGTTCAACCAGCCAGGTAAATGAGATACTTCATAAATTTCACTTTTTGATTCAGTAAAAGTTTAATATACAATAGAAATTATCAGTCTTTTTGCCTTATTATGTGTGTTCTGCCATTACACTGAAGTTAGTGCTTAATAAATGTGACTTAATAAAAGCAAGCATTGTCTCACATTAATAATTGTTAGCCCTAAAGTAATAACTTAAATACTTAGGCTATATCATGTACATATATAGATCTTTGGTAAATTTTATACTCTTGCTGTAAAAGAGCAGAGTACTAAGAGAGAAAATATGAGATTTTCTTAACAAAAGACGTTAAATTATGTTTAATATGTATTTAGTTTTGAGATGAAACCACAGACATGCAAATAAAAGTGACATTTTATAATAAGTCTACATTTCTTTTTAAGATGGGAGCATGTTTTTCAAAAGTTTTTGATGGTTGCCCTTTGAAAATTAATTGTGCAACTTCTTGGATACATCCTGATACAAAAGGTAAAATTTCTGAATATTATACGCATCTCCATTAAAGTATTTATTATGGGAAAAGATCTATAATCAGTAAACTGAGGTGGTTTATTTTAAAAATAGGACCTTAGGGACTAAATAGTATAGGGTTTTGGTTTAAATGTAGTAAAATTTAAGAGTATATAAGAATTGTTCTGAGTAAAGAAGGCTAAAGAGACATCACAACTGATTGCATCCTTAATTTGGAATTTTATTTTACAATAAAAGGACATTACTGAGACAATTTATAGGGGAAATAATACTGTTTTAGTTAATGGTCTGTGGTTATATAAGATTTAAAAAATAAATGTACATTGAAATTTTTAGGAATGAAAGGGACTTCATGCTCTTATCTCAAACAGTTCAGAAAACAATGTGTAGGGGAGAGAGAAGGATCAAGCAGTAGTGAATGCTTGGCATTCTTGGAATCTGTGTTAAGGGTATTCAGGAATTCTTTATACTATTACAGTTTTGCTATAAATCTGAGATGATGTCAGAATACTAAGATTTAGATTTAAGATTTTTAAAGTGAGGAAGCATAATTAGTAGAGGCAAAAATTCAAAATCAATCTGGGTTTGAATTCCCTCTTTGTCATTAATGTATGACTTGGAAAATAAGCCTCACACCTCTGGCTTTCGTGGTAATCATTTGTGACATAAATATTCTTAATATTTACCTTGTTGCAAGAAAGAACCTACCTGATTGGCAATTAGCAAACAGAGGTAGGCAGTAGGGTAGTGCAACAATGTTTGTTTCTGCTTCAACACAGTAGTGAAAACGGATTATAAAATGATCTGCTTTAAATGCCACTGTTGGAAAGTAAAAATTTTAACCGTAAGGAAATATTTTTTTGTTTGGAACTTTTTATTTGGTATATTCAAATTTACAGAACAAAAGTGCAAGAAACTCATATACTATCATCGGTTATTTTTATTTTGCTCTATTTGTTTTACCATTTTCTAGGTTTATGTGCATTTTTTTCATGAATAAGGTGGAGAACTCATGCTCTTCTACTTCAGTATCTTATTTCCTAGTATCAAGAATCATCCCTAGGTCTGTAATCCCAGCACTCTGGGAGGCTGGGGCAGCAGGATCACAAGTTTGAGCATAGCCTGGGCAATTTAGCAACTCAGCAAGACCCTGTCTCAAAATTTAAAAACAGGCCAAAGTTGTAGCTCATGGTGAAGGCCCTGGGTTCAGTCTCAGTACCAAAAAAAAGTTATCACTTGGGCTGGGCACTGTGGCACATGCCTGTGATCTCCACTGCTTTCAAGGCCGAGATAAGAGGCAACTTGGAGATAAGCCTGGGTAATTTAGCAAAATCCTGTCTCAAACTGAAAACTAAAATGCCCGGGAATGTAGCTCAGTGGAGGAGCACTTGCCTGCAATGCATAAAGCCTGAGTTTAATCCCCAGCACTGCAAAAAAAACAAAAACATATTTACATAACTATAAAACAGTTACAAAGATCAGGAAATTTATCACTGATGTAATTCTGGTTTTTTAATCCAAAGTCCATATTTAAATTTTATTTTCACAATAGTGTTCTTTCTAGTCTTCACCTCATTTTTTCAGTTCAACATATAATTCATGAGTACATGTTGAATTTAATCAGTTTGAACTTATGAAGTCTTATTTTATTCAGTGAGATATGATTTATCATTATTATTTTCATACTTAAACTGTCTCAGAACTTTTGGAGAGGACAGAAATTCACAGGAGCTGTGGATGCTCCTGTGTCCTTTTGTTTGAAATGCTGGAATTCTTTTTCGAGCATTTCCTTCCTTTCTGGCACAGCAGAGTTTCTAGGCTCATCTCGTGCTTTCCCTGCTCCAGAACTGAAGTCAGTCTTGTCTCCAGGGTGCCTTGGCTCTTCTTAGTGGAAACAGCATTTAGAAACCAGGGTCTGAGCACCAAGGGTATCCATTGTGGGTGTCATGATTTATAATTTACACTGAATGTGTGATTTCCTTGTTGGAGAGTATTTGAGGTGTCTCGCAAAATTTTTTACTATAGAAATATTAAAACATAAAGATGATGTCAAAGTAGAGAACTATATAGTATGGTGAACTCAATAAATTATTCTAACCAGAATATATCTACTTTTTATAAAACAAGAAAGGTGTTGGGGAAAGAAGTGAGGCAGCAAGAAGTGAATTTTGGAAAATAATTTTACTTTGCGTGTGTGGCTCTTAATATCATTACAACATAAAACTATTATTTTAGTAAATACTTTTGGAAAATGATAGTAAATTCTGGCAATTTATGAACTGTTTTAGATCAGTACATTATTTTTGGAACTGAAGATGGTATTTACACATTGAATCTCAATGAACTACATGAGGCAACTATGGAACAGGTAATGAGGGCTTTTAAATCAAAAAAGTAGTTGAGACAAATCAAATAAAAGAAATATCTTAATTTTAAATCACTTTGTATAGACCTAAATTTTAATTTTTATTGTAAATATTTAAAGGGATATTATACTCTTTACATGTTCATGTTGAAAAATGTTTTTCCCTGAGGTTTTGGTAATTTACTGAAAGCCAGAAAATAGTTGCTTTTGTAATACTATTTTATTTGTTTTGTTTTGTGTGGTCCACAGTACCCAGGGCCTTGCACATGCTCAGCAACCATTCTATCATTTGAGCTACATCCCTAAAAGTACTGTTTTAGAATATTGGAATTTGGAGGTTAAAGGGCAAGAGAATGAAAATTACACAGTTTAATTTTCTTCTTTTTTTCTTTTTTTCCTTAGTTATTTCCACGGAAGTGTACTTGGCTGTATGTTATTAATAATACTTTAATGTCATTATCAGGTATGCATTCATGATGAAAAACCACAGGCAGGCAGAGAAATGTTTTAAAATGTGTATTTGTAATTCTAGATAGCTATAGTCTAGTAACTTTGAGACTTGCAGATTTTTCTTCCCAAATGCCCCAGCAACTGTGCACCTGGGGCAGGTAGCACACTGATCATTCCCTGAGGTCCTTCCCCCCTGCAAAGCCTCAGCCTCTCCTCTGCCTCCACCACTGCTGTCATCCCATCCTCCACTGAGTGTTAACAGATGAAGGAAAGAAGCAGCAGGTTGAGCTGCTGCTTTCTCTGTGAGCTTCAGCAAGTCAGTTCCCCTCTTCATAGCCTCTGTTTTCATACTTATCAAATGAGGGTGATGGGTACTAAGTCTCATGAGGTTGTTGTAAGGGTTAAATGAAATTAATCCAAAGTGCTAGTGAACTGTGAAGCCTTAGAGAGCTGTTTGGTGGCAGCATTCATGTTGTTGTAGACCACATGTAACTGCCTTGGGCTTGATAGTTTGATGTCTGCTGAACAAAATGATTCCAGAGCAACCTATGCTACTTTGGGTGATTGTGTTTTTTCTCTTTTGGTTATAGTTAGCAATGAATAGGTGGGTAGTAATTTTAGATTTTTTTTTCTTATATATCAAACAATGTTTTCTTACATTTTAGATTTAAATGACTGCTTAGAGGCTTCCTAATTCTGATATAGAGTACAAGACAATTATTATTCCTCTGTAGTAGAGATTCTTCAGCAGTCTATATATTTGGCTGATTCAGTGTTTTTGAAAAGCATATTATTGTGCTCGTTTGGTGACACATATACTAAAATGGAAGAGCATATTATTTGTCCATAAATGGTTCTAAAAAGCTGACATCAAGAGCTATTATGCTTTCCTCAAATCGTTTAAATTTCATTTAGTAATATTAATTTATTACTTTTTTGAAAAGAAATTTAAACTGATTCTCTTTAACAGTTCTGAATTTTACACACACAAAATTACTTTTCTCTGATTCTCTTGCTGCTGTCTTTTATCCCTAGTCATAGTTGTTTTCAAAATAAGCTTAAAGCACTATGTGGGGTGCATCTCACATATTTATAAGATAACCATGGGAAAGCAGGGAAAAGTTAGCCTATAAATTAGTTCTTTTATACTCGAGTTAAAATGACTCACAAAACTGAAAGAAGGTGGGCAGCAGAGCCTAACAGGAGAAAATGTTCCCATACGTGTACATGTGTGTTTAGCAGCCTAGCTAGCGGTGCAGCTCATGGTGGATATAGCGTCAGTGGAGAGAGGAAGGCTGGCGTAGGGTTAGCCAGAATGTTGCTGTTCTGAAAAAAGTATAGAGCATTTCATGAGAAGAAGGCTATATTTATATTTATGCTTTCTAATAATAAAAGGATAAATACTATTTTGTGTTGTTGTGTTACCATACTTTATAAAATGGAGAATCGGAAAATATTTACCATGTTTCCCTTCCTTAACCACAGCTTTGTCTTTTATTATATGTAATTGCACCCCTGTTTATCCTTGTATTATAGCTTATCATATTGGCTTATTTACTACTTCAGTGTATTATTTTGAGGAATTCATTACAGTCAGCTTTAAGCCCAAGTAATTTGATGAATTACTGATAAATAGATCTAAGCCAGAGAGATGATAGTGATGCAGTTTTATATATTTCCATTTTGTTCTAAAATTGTCACATGTGAATTATTTTAACTCAGCCCGTAACATAAGATTTTGTACATCAGTTTTAACAATTACTTTTTCTATGTTCTCACCCTGAAGGTTTACAAACATTCTGCCCAGATCACTGTTTGTCAGAATATACTTAATTTATGAATATTATTTTAAAGTTATTTCCACGTAGTATTAACTGAATTTTTGTTTTGTTTTGCTTTTGTGTATGTTTTGTTTTGCTTGGCCTTTGAACATGATTGGACTCCTCATTTTAGAAGGTAATTATGTTTCTTTTACTTGAAAATTGTATTTTTCTGTTGTAAATGATAAATAAAAGTAAAATATTTCTCTTTTATAGGAAAAACCTTTCAACTCTACTCTCATAATCTTATTGCTTTGTTTGAACAAGCCAAAAAACCGGGATTAGCTGCCCATATTCAAACTCATAGGTTTCCAGACCGCATACTGCCAAGGTACAAAATACAGTTCTGTTCTACTAGGAGTGAGGGGAATTAGTGTCTGTTTTTGAAACAGTCTGTACCATTACCCGGAGAAAACTTTCTTTGTCGTAATTTTCAAAGGTACTTTACACTAAAGTACATGCCATCTAGGATGCACAAGATCAGTGTTTCCTAAACTGGACTGCCCATGAGAATCACCTGTTGAAGTTTTATAATACAGATTCTCAGGCCCTACCTCAGTCCTATAAAACCAGGCAGTCTGTACTCAGAGTCCAAGACAAATTGGGGTTTTTTTGGTACTGGGGATCGAACTCGGGTTCTTGCGCTTACACAGCAGGCAGTGAAACCACCAAGCTAAATCCCCAGCCCTCCAAGACAACTTTTTAAAAGCTCCTTCCTGTCTGATGCAATGCATTCATAAATCACTGTATGACAACCACAGCAATAAAGAACATTTATATTGTTTAATGTTTTCAGAAAGTTCGCTTTAACAACAAAGATTCCTGATACAAAAGGGTGCCACAAATGTTGCATAGGTAAGTAAATGCTATTTCTCAAACTGAATGGTTAGAACTTTCAACAACTTTAAAATTATTTGAAGTCTTATAGAATGACTTTTTTTTTTAAGTTATGTTACCAGTAAAGCACAAGAATATACAGAGAAATGTGGTCTTCATAGCCCAGCATTCCTACTGTCTATCTGTCTATCTGTCTGTCTGTCTCTTTGTTTGTGACAGGGTCTCACTATGTAATTCAGGCTGGTCTTGAGCTCACTATGTAGCCCAGGCTGGCCTCAAACTCTCAGCAGTCGTCCTGCTTCTGTCTTCTGAATGCTAGTATTACAGGAATGCACCACCATGCCTGGCTTCTACTGTTTGTTAACCATAGTCCCTGAGATTTACCAGTCACTGCTAGTTTGTTGTTTGTTCGTTTACAGTACTGGGTTCTGAACCCAGAACCTTGTATATGCTAGTGCCCCACCACTGAACTGCTGTCCCAGCCCACTCCTGATTTCTTTTTTTGATCCAGTACTGAGGATTAAAGCCAAGGCCATGTGCATGCTAGGCAGGCACCCAACGCCTGAGCAACATCCCCAGCCCTTTTTATTTTGAGATAGGGTCTCACTAAATGCCCAGGCTAGCCTTCAACTTGCAGTTCTCCTGCCTCAGGCTCTAGAGTAGCTTGGGATTTTAGATGTGTGCTACGAAGCCTGGGTTTGCTAGTTCTTAATGAAAATTATTACAAGAGTTTAGCCAACTCTGAAATAGAACAGTCTATACAAGACCACCATACTTCTAATTCAAAAGTACAACTTTGAGGGTTTTCCAGAAGCACCCTCAGATTCACCAATTCTTTAGAAGAACTCAAAGAAGTCACTGAAAGCAGTTATAGTTATCATTATAGTTTCTTACAGGGAAAAGATACAGATTGAATTCACCCAAGGAGGGTAGGATGGTAGCTCAGGGAGAGCCTGAGCATGCACAAGGCTTGGGGCCAATCCCCACCACTGCCAAAACAGATAAAGAATGACCCACTGGAAGAAGAACATAGGGCAGAGCACAGGAAAAGGACCCAGCAGAGAGCAGTAAAGGGAAGCTCCTTTGAGCTTCATCGTCCACAGTTTTTACTGGGGCTCCATCCTGAAGGTGTGATTGATGCCTTTTATGGTTGATCTCTCTCACCATCCCTTCCAGATAGCGGCGGATACTACATGACCCAAAGCTCCCACTCTGAGTCACATTGTTGATCTTTCTGGCATAGCCGGCCCTCGCACTAGGACTATCCAGTGTTGCCAGCCTCACCCTAAATCATATTGTTAGATTATCCAGTGACCTCAGGTTCCCAGGCAGAGATGCTCCTATCAAGCATGACATTTCAAAAGCTTAGCAATTATTTCTCAAGAGTGGAGGATAGAGAACAGACCTTTTTCAGGGCAAGGATAAATCTTTACTACATAATTATCTCAGCCTTTAAACAACTCTGACACTTGTTAGGTCATAAGTAATAGAACCTATTGCTTCTCGGCCTTTTGGCTAAGATCAAGTGTATAAATAATAGAACCTAGAACCAAATCTGTGTCTGATGTCTTGAGATCTTAGGGTCCTAACTTCTGTTTATTCTTTTGTTTGATCAGTGAGCTTCCTGACACACAGTAGTTCTAAAGCATAGTGTACACTCTCTGAAACAAAAATGTTTTTTAACAGTAGATGAGCTTTATTTACAGTCATGTCTCTTGATACTGATCTCTAGGAAATTTCATCATTGCACTTAAATAAATTAAGGTGGCTATGGTGTCATGAGACAGTGTGTTTTTATGGGAGCACCATAGCAATGCATTCCATTGTTGTTGAAAATGCTGGGCAGTGCATGGCTATTTAAGCACATTCTTATGGAAGATGTGTAAACATCTTCCTAGCAAAAATCGCATCTGTTCCTGTTATCAGATTCCCAGAATCTGTGATTCCAAAAAGGCCTAGAAGCTTACAGTCTTAAGATTTAAACTCATAAGTACTACTGTGAACTTAATGCAAATAGTTGTTCTGATAATCAGTATATGCTATTGTTGATAAGAGTCAAATTGGGAGGAAAGACCAATATGAATTTTTGTAGATTTGGATTAAAGAAGTTCCAGCAAGGTGAATAAATACATACATGATGACTTATCTTCATCTTACCTTAAGTAGACAACTGAAAACTACTATGCCAAAAATGATACGATGAATTTCACTTATCCCTAGACTTTCTTAGCAGGATTTATTTTTAGTCAGTTTACTTAGAAACAGCTTTTTTAGGTTTTATATTAATTTAGATGTTTTTGTGTTCAAAGTATTGTTCTTATTAAAAGTGCTTCTGTTTAAGAACCTAGCATATTAAAAGCATTTAGGAGTAAAAGTATATAATTTAACATGGACCCTTCAAAATAAAAGACCCAATTTAAAAAATGGGCAACTGAGGGCTGGGGATTTAGCTCAGTGGTTCTGCCACCTGCCTCACAAGCCCAAGGTTCCAAGTTTGATCCCCAGTACCAAAAGAAAAAAAAATGGGCAACTGAAATAGACATTTCTCAGAAGAAGTACAAATTCATGTAAATTCATGAAAAATGTTCAACATCTCTGGCCATTAGAGAAATGCAAATTAAAACAACACTGAGATTCTATCTTACTCCACAAAGAATGGCCATCATCAAGAAATTAAATAATAATGCTGATGAGGCTGCAGGGGGAAAAGGAACCTTACATTGTTGATGGGAGTGCAAATTAGTGCAACCATTATAGAAATCAGTGTGGACATTCCTCAAAAAACTAAAACTAGAAATTCCATCTGACCCAGCTATTCCCCTTCTCTGGGTGTCTTCCCCAAAGAGTTAAAAACATCATATTATAATGATACATATCCATGTTTATAGCACCACAATTCATGATAGCTAAATATTGGAAATGGCCTGTATGTCCATTAACGGATGGATAAAGAAAATGTGGTATTTATACACAGTGGATTGCTAGTCTGCCATAAAGAAAGATAAACTTGAGACGTTTGTAAGAAAATGGATGTACCTTGAGACCATAATGTTAAATGAACTAAATTGGACACACGAGCTTAAATATCACATAATTTATTTTATATGAGAAACCCAAAATATATAAAGAGCAAAATAAAAGATAGGTAATAGGAAACAGGGAAATAGATCCTTTGCAAATGGAAGGGGACCAAGAGCGGAGGGAGGGCACAGGAAGAGGATTAAAAAAGAAGTACCAACTCCTCATGAGGAATATGATCATTATGTACTACAAACATGTACTGATAAATAAAATTGAGATAAAGTGACAAGGAAAGAGTAAAAAAGCCAAAATAAAAAGAATTATATTTATTTGCCCACTCTTATCATCTTGCTTACCTGAGAGTAATTGTTCTTTGTCAGCTAAGTGATCACTTCATATAGTTTGTTCTTCCATCCATGTTTTAGTATTGCTACCAGATCACGTTCCATGTTTTTTCCCTCATAACAGTACTGCCGTTTTAGCTTTTAGGTGAGTAGCTTAGCTGTTACATTTGGCTAACCTAATTCTGCTTTCACAAAAAGGTATTCGGTGTTCTAAATGTGTCTTTTGTTGTCATTGTTGTTCTTTCCAGTCAGAAACCCTTACACAGGACATAAATACCTCTGTGGAGCTTTACAGTCTGGAATTGTTTTACTTCAGTGGTATGAGCCAATGCAGAAATTCATGTTGATAAAGGTATATATTACCTTGTTTGTATTTTTCTTCTTTAGAAAATGCTAGTTTATAACTGAGGTAAAATTATAAAGTGTTATTAGTAATTATTTAGCTTCGGAATTTTTGCGCTCTTATTAAGATTCCTCTTTAACTGATCTTACATAATAAATTTTTAACCATAGAATAAATAGACTACCACTGTAAATAGTAATAAAGCCAGTTCTCTTGTAGAGAACATTCATAGTACCATCTTTTTTTTTTTTTTTTTTTCCGGGGATCGAACTTTGGTCCTTGTGCTTGCACAGCAGGCAGAGAAAGC